TGACCTTGGCTCTTGAACACAAAGCACGTGCTGTTAGAGTATAGGAGTTATCTGCAGAGACTGATTCAAAGCTGGCAAGCTCAGTACTATTTCAGAGCTGCTGGGATGAGATCTAGGTAGTTCCCCACCCATTTACGTGGAACAAATTGTGAGACTGAGGTTGTATATTGACTGTTGACCTATATCATCAAGCATAGCAAGCACAGTTTCCTTTTCTTTGGAAACTGTTCTTGTGGTTTCCCGAAGTTGCACTACTTTCTCCATGGTTTTGTGTAACCAGATTTCTGGAGCAGTCCCGTGCATGGATAATTTGTGACTCTTAAATATCACTCTATGAAATGTATAGCAGAAAAGCTGGGAAACATCTGAAATAACCTGCTTTGGTGTTATGCAGGTTGACTGCAGGTGTTTACAATATTGTGTACATGGAATGGCAGCAGAAATGGAAACGCCTTGCAACTGGCTCGGGAGAACCCTCAGTAGTGCATGCAGTCTTACAAAAAAGCCTGATCTTCACATGCTTTATCTCAAGTCTGGGGATTTTTCTCAAGTTTGGGTTTGCTTCTTGCTGTGACACCCATCCAGCTCTCAGGATAGCTTTTTCCCCCCCCTATCCAATGTCTCCATTGTATAAATTTCAGACTGGTTTGAGATTGAGAGTGCTGATACCCAGCTAGTCATGCAATATGTCTGCTATATGAATTTGCAGCTGGTCATTAGGAGTTGAGAGTTGCTGAGCTTGCTACTTCTCTTCTACCTCTAGGAGCTTAGATTTTTAAGTGCAACTAATTCCTAGCTGAGATATTATTGTCTTGTAAGTGCTCATTAAAGATTAAGAGAACCAATCTTGGCAGTTACTTAGTCCAGATTGAAGCAAGTTGTTATGAGGTAGTGTATTTTGTGAGGAAAGGAGCCTTTAACTCTGTTTTGTGCATCAGAGTGATTTGTAGCAGGATCCGTTAGTACAGGATCCTATTTAATTTTGCTCTGATGCACCAATACTTGTATTCTGGATACTAGATAGTACAGTAAAAGAAAGGATCAAAAGAAGATTAGTATGGTGTGTAATCAGAGAGTCATGTAGGTGCTCACTTCACGTGTTGTTTGTTAGACAGCCAGTGTCCTAAAGAAAATGGCAGGTTATTCACACTAGACTTCTCATTGTCCTAATGAAGTGCTTTATAGTACAGTGCTAATGCTGAGCATTAGGAGTTCAGATTAAACCCCTGGTATACAGAAAATGTTTAGAGCTTTTGTGCTCGGCAGTGGAAATACATAGAGTAGCTAATGTGCTATCCTACTTAATTGCATCACCGCAAGTTAGATGAATGAGAAAGCAGGCATCTAACAGACGTGCTAATGTGTCTAATGTTGGAGGGTGCCAGAAATTAAAAAAATAAAATAAAAAAACCTCTAATAGTGCTGCAGACCAAGCTCTTTGCTATATTTGATTCCCACTGTTACTAGTGAAGTCCTTCTGTCCCTACCTATGACTACTGTTTTAAGAAGCTGGGTATTCAGAATCTTTTTTTTAAAAGCAGGGGGATTTGCATCTTGGCTAGTGAGCTCAAAAGCCACTGTGAAATATCTGTTTGGGAATCATTTGTTTTAAAGTAATAACTTACTACAGTGACAGTTTTTATTTTCTTTGGAATTTAAGTCCTTGTTCATGAGGTGAAGAATTTCTCACATTTCCCTGGGTGTGGTAAATAACTGCCATCTTCATACTAATACAGCATCACAGAAAATCTTCCAGCAAAAAGACAACAAGGATGAAAGCGGATCCTTTCCTGTTCTCGCTTTTTTTTAAACTTTAAAATATGCAACTATTAACACCTGACTAGGAGTGTTATTCATATGGTAGGGCATTGTAGCATAAGGCTTCCTTGGTATTATAATTAGCTGTGGGACCTGCTTACAGTACCTTTGTCCCTCAACTCGCTTACGAAACCATTAAAGATGGTAGTGTGGGTGGGGACAAGCCTTGCTCTCAGGCAGCATCTCTGTACAGAGCTGTCTGGACCAAGGCACTGCAAAGCTTCCAGCAAGGCTAGATAAACTTGGGAGACTGAAGATCTGTTTTGTCTGTCTGTCTGTCAGTCCCTTGGCTGTAGCTCACATAAGAGAGCTCGTTACGGAAGGGATAGACATCAGACATTAATCCAACATACTGTATTATACTTATCAATATGATGTTGGATTTTAAATAGGAATTGTATCAGTTTAACTGAAACTAGAGGGATTTACCCAACCTCTTAGTTCAAAAGCATATGTCTGAGAAGCAGGATCAGTGCTGAACTCATCTCCTTGTTGGCAGGGGTGTTTATAAAAGGGCCGTCTTTAATCTGCTGTTCTGCATTCCTCATCAGACTACTTATTTCTCTCCTACCAGGACTGCCAGCCAGCCCACAGAGTACTCCTGCCAAGGCCTTCACAGTGGGCAGCCCATGCATTTCCTCGCCACAGCCAGCTGCCTGTGCTCCCAGTTATTCTGGAGACCTTCCTCTTTCCACAAACACTCCGACGGGCACTCTCAAAAGCCAGACGGCTGCAGCCTGCACCCCAGCCAAGCGGAGTGGAGCCAGCCCATGCGCTTCTCCCAAACTGATCCCTTCCTCCAAAATGTCCATTAAACATTGGGTTACTAGGACTCTGTGCTCTTCCCCTCCAGAAGTGGGGAAAAAGGTTCCTTCTCCTAGAAAAGCCCTGGCAGAAGTCACACAAGGTCTCCTGGAAGTCGCTTGCCCTCCTAAAGCCCCACACTCGCAGTTTGAAAAGCGGGCCAAGAGAAGGCTTGAGTGCAGCAAGGAGGACAATGCAGGGCAGAAGTGTCTGCAAGCCTGTAGCTGTGTGACTGAACTGGACCATACGGCTAAGAAATCAAAGCTGAATTTATGTCATTTGGCTGCAGACCAAAAAGCTTGTGATGAAGGCTCTCTCAGCCTAGCTGACTTGGATAACGACTGCGAAGGCTCCAGCTGCAGCCCAAAAGAGCCTTGTTTTCCTGGAAACCGTATCAATCCATCGGGCATTCAAACTCCCCCCCGTCTTTTCCGATCTCCTTGTGGGAAGGACGCTGAGATAGTAGATAAAGAGAATAGTTCACCTGAAAGAAAAAACTGGCTGTCTGCTCTGGGAGAGAAGCTCCGGACTGGCAGAGCTGGCAGCCAGAGTGTATCAAACAGCGCACCGTCGTCCTGCAGTCCCGGTACCAAACGACAAGAGGCTGTGGCAGTGGCCACGTCGCCGAAAACTGTAAGTAGGAGGGTCAGTGGCAGTGCTCATGAAAGAAGTTATCCCTAGCTGCCACTCTCCCACTGTTTGTTCTCTGCTGCTCAGGCATTCGAAGAATTATCTGATCCCTTTGATTGTGACCGAAAGGGATGATTTCTGACCTAATAAGCCAGATAGATTAATGCTGTTATCTACTAATCTCCTCCATGCAGGAAGAGGATTTTTAGGATGGTGGTGTTCCTCGTTTTAAAGAGACTTAGGGCACACTGGAGCTCAGAGATCCTCACAGTCCCCAGTCAGATGTTCTAAGGATGCAGCTGTCATCTGAAATACTCTGAGAACCACAATAATGACAGAACATTTCCTGACAGATCTGCTGTTTATGTGTTCACTGTCACATCTGCCTGTTTATGTTACTGGAAAGCCATTCTAGCATTGGAAGAAAGATGTAAATTTTATTCTAGCCCAGGTAGCAAAAGAATTTGTTACCCATGTTAAAACCATGGAGCTAAATAATGCCTTTGGTTCCTTCAGTTGAAAACTAGCAGAAAACCAAGGAATTGCAATAGAGTCAGAGGGCAGGATTTGACCTACATAATCCTACTTCTGGTGTACAAGAAGCCCGGCACAGAGTTCATCCTAGAATCTGAAAGTTTAGCTTGTAAAGCAGCTAAAACTGTTGGTATGAGGGCATGAGGGTTTAACATGCAAACTGGGAAATTATAATTAATTTTTTTAAAAACAAACCAAACTCAACTCTTCTCTGAAACTGGACTCCAAGTCCTACGCTGTCTTTGACTGAGTCTTGTTTCAGTAAATGTTTGTTAAATTTTCACTCGTCAAATTTCAGTTGTACTCTCAATTGAATATCTGATGCTAGAAGTTGTTGCCATCATTAAGGCTTATTTTGGTAAAGTAACTCATGTCTTACCTGATTTCACCTCTTCCAGCACTTCTATCAGATGTGAAGTGGGCAAACCACCACTCCTTAAGTTAAGCACAGCAGCTGAACTCTTCATATTGTGGTTGTACCAAGAAACCTTGGTTATAGTAAACCTACAACTACTTGTGCTTTATGCTGCACATGTTTAAACACAAGACAGAAGGATTTGCCCAGGGGAGAGATTACTATAGAACAATTACCTCTCCTGCCCAGTGTGCTCTGGCTCAGATTTCTGGATGCTCGTGTGTTGTACTTGAAGCCTGAGGACGTGCATGAAATACCAGCAGCATTTGTTGATCTGCTACATCTTGGGAATCTGCAGCCCTCTTATCTGCCATAAGGAAGGTGAAACTGCTGCCACAGTGCTTTTTCTATAGCAGTAAGAACACCCTAGGTTTTAGCAAGCATTTCCTGTAGGTGGTAAGCCTCTTACCTGAGATAAACAGATTATAGTAAAGAACCTTTCATTGACTGCCTTATTTGGGAAGTTAAACAAACTGGAGCAATGATGGAGGGGCTCCCATCATTCGACTCCTGCAGCATATGATCTGTTAACCTAGAAACAATTCTTACTGGTTTTGCGTTTGTTTTGTTTTCTAGGCTGCAACCACTTCAGTTGCCATGAGGAAGATCTGCACGTACTTCCACAGAAAGCCACAGAATGACTGAAGCAGCGTATGGCGATTGCACCTGATGGATGTTGAAACTGTGGCACCAAGACCAGATTCAGCAATGCTGACTACGATGTGCTGGGATTACACAGTTTGTTGCCAGACATACATAAACTTTGGGTTTTATTCTTCTGTTTTTAAAGCCATTAAGAGTTGAAGTCAGCTGAGTGTGGAAAATCTACACAAGACTTACTTGTGGTCTCTTTCTGATTTTAATTGATGGATTTATGAAGAAAACCAGTGTTTTTTACATGGCAACTATTATAGTCCAATGACAGCAAGAGCTCTGCTGTGCATTGTTGACAGACACATATAGCTTGTCAGTTTATGTTGCTAATCTGCCGTTGAAACTTCCTCTACTTAAGAATAATGTGTAAATCCTTACACCCTCCTGAAAAGCAAGTGTTGGAATGTGTGCAGAGAAAGTTACTGGAGGTAGACCTGAGCCCCTTTGTGCTCAATGGCATTTCTACAGTTACTCCCATAGTACCGCAGTGACTGCCCGCTTCCAGCAGGGAAGGTATGAATGTGTTAAGTGAGTATAAAAGTCTTTTAAACACCCTGTGTCCATCCAGTGGTGATTATAGTCTAAGAGGAGACAAAGTATAATCAAGTACATAATGCCTGTGTTCCTCTTGCCATCCCCTTGCTTCTACCAGCCTTAAAATGTCTGTATTTACCAACTTAGCTGGCTTTTGAACCATCAGCACTACAGCTGTTGAGGCCAGCAGCTTGTCACTTCTCTGAAATCAAATAGTGGCAAGGTGTGTTACAAAAATCAGTTTTATCTATCCCATATATGCATCCCGTAACAGCCGGTTGTTCAGTCACCCCTTACAGATTCAGCCTGTAGCAAAGGCATTAATAACTGCTTATAACATAACTTCGTAACACTTTTGTAATACAGTATCTATAAAATAATAGCTTGTAAATCGGGGGAGGGACATTTGACATTTTAGAAAGCACTTGACAGTTTATGTATTAATATTAAATGCTTTGCCATTGTAAGTCATCACTAATGCTGATAGAACAAGGTCACTGAAATGAGATCACTGTCCTGCTGGCTAATGATACTAACTCCACAGACATACTTCCCCAGCGGGAGCTAGTAGAAAGAAAATCTGTATCTTAAATTGGAACATTTACTCTGTCTTTTAGTATAATAGTTCCTGTGAACTTTAAAAAAAACCAAAACAAAACAAACCCAAACATCTGAATCCCTAGTAAGTTTTTCTGATGCAGAACAATTGATGTATGTGAAGGGGATGTGGTCCAACTAATTCATGTTTTCCGTCTGAACATCTGAAATTTTTACACCTAGTTTACAATAGCATTGAATAGTACGGTAGTTGAAAGGGATTAGAGGAAAACATGCTGATTTGTGTCTTATGTTGTAGATTGTATTTTGCAAGGAAGTAAATGACTTGCGAGAAACTGGCATTTGTGAAAGGTCTTTTACAGCTACAAAGCATAACTAAATGTGTCGTGTGCTTTTTATAAAATAAGAAAAGTAGTCATCATCAAGTTGCATCCTTTAGCAGGAGCACTGAGGTGCATATAGAGGCCAGAACAACTTTCTCCTGTTTACTGAATTACAGGCTATCATCCCATGAGCTTTGAGGAGACACCATTAGGAAAGTGGGAAAGGTAATGTAATGCTTCAGGCATTTTTTTTATAGTTCTTGTTTAAAAAAAAATGGATTTTTAAAGAGTGATTATCTGAATAGATCTAGTATCTTGGGCAAAGCAGGGCTATAAAAAATCTGTTAGTTTAATTTTAACCTACTTCTGGATATTGAGGTAGATGGAAGTGGTAGAATCATAGCCTAAAGTAAGTAGGTTTGGGATTGAATTCTGTCTTAATTTTAATTAATAGAGCAACTGTGTACCCTAGTACAACCTGCCTTGCCTACAGCCGGTTTTTCATGCAGGGTTATTCCATGCAGTTTGTAAATAACAGATTGCAGAATAAGGAGATGTGGACCCTCTAGAAGTACGTGAGAGTCATCAGGCATTTCAACAATAGGATTTCATGTTCTTTCACTTCTTTCACAATATTTTCCTCCTCCAGAATGTTCTGCAGCCAACCATTATCTCCTGTATCTTGTAAATGGCTACCTAGAGATGATTTACACCAATGGGTTACTGCTTGGATGAATACTATTGTGTGGGGATGTGAGATTTTTTCCTTTCAAATAGTACTTGTTTAGCAGAACAACATGTTTTATGGACCATCATGCATAATTTCTTTATCTTAAGCTAATGTCAACCTGGTTCAGAGCCTAGGAGAATTAACTGAAATTTATATTCTTCTGTGTCCAACTGCCTTGACCTTATCATGATAAAATCATGACTGCAAAAGCATAGAAGAAGAATTGCTGATACAAATCAGATGTCAAGTGGTTTAAGGTAACCAGTGCTGGCTTTACCTGAGACACTTGCTGAACTAAGCATTCAAAGAACTGAGCTCTTCATTGGGACCAGCAAGGTATACCTCTGAATCACCTTTCCTTCTAAAGGATTTACAGAAACTCTGTACTCCATGTTTTATAATCAAATTAAGCCTTTTGAGATACTATTCCCACATCGTATGTATATGTGTAAATCCCACCTTAGGTATCTTACATGTTTTTCCATGCAGATGCTACTGCTTACTGATGTCTTGTCTCAGTCCTCAGAGTTTACCCTCTAATTGCCAAGTGGGGTTTGGGAATGACCACAGCAGTTTATGATGGTATTGTTTGTGACGGTTGTTACTACTGCTTGGTTGGAAGATATGCCTCTCTCTGTTCAGCTGTGAGCAGTCAACCTGTTTAGTTTAATAGCAGTGTGACGGTGACTTGAGCTAACCTGGCTTGGCAAAACTGAAGAGGCACTCCCAGGACCTGTACAGATGCATGGTCAGCAAGTCTTGGCAAACATTCCTTCTGGTAACAGCACTGACTTAAGAATCCCTTCGGGAAGCTAACTACAAAGAAAACCAAAAATGTAATTGCCTCAGTTCCCTGACTCAACAGCTAGTTATACCGAAACTGTGGAGGGGACAGAAGTGAGGGTGTGAGGACAGAATTGCCACTGAGGGGCCTGTTCTGTCAAACTGTCTCTTGATGTGTAGAGGTGGTAGCTTCTCGTTGGTCAGGGAGTGCTAAAATCTTCTTTGGCACCATTGTTTCTGCAGCCATTGACCATGGCTGGAATCTCCTGGATGGTCCATCTTACCTTGATTGTCCACAACACTCTGTAAACTGACCTACGGAGGTTAGCAAAAAGCACGCTATTGTGGCATTGAAAAATGTTCTCGGTGCTATCTGTATGTGGTATACAATTTCTTAGCAAGTTTTGTTTAGAAATAGGTGCTTTCCAGCCAGTCATTTGCCAAAAGCATTTGGTAGCTGGCTAAATGTGTCACCACGTTCACGGATTTACATGTAGGCCTTGCATCCAGAATGCCTCTTACAGAGGTTTTTCAAGGTGAAATATTACGAGTTTTTCATAGCCAATACTGGTTTGGCAGTAAATGGGAAGTAGTGTTCATCTTCAGGTTCATTACAATCGAATTTCTTTCTTTCCCCCCTGAAGCTGACCTGAACAGTTTTCCAAGTGAGTGGTAATCATCACCTTCTGTTTCTCTACACAATAAAACAGAACCCACTGGCTTGCATTTTTTCCTCTCTGATTTGTGTATGGCCCAGTCTACAATAAATAAAATACATTCTGCTACTACACAGAGTCCATGTGTTGTCCTTCAAAGTACAGCTTTGACCATAGCCAAGTGCTCTCCATCTGCACTGCACAAAAAGCCAAACACAATGGAAAGCAAGGAAGAGGAGAAAGCAAACATGAAGGAACTCATGTGTAATTTCTTTTAAAATAACTTTTCATATCAATTGTTTTTGAGAAATACGCACAACACTACGAGGACACCATGAAACTGGAACGGCGAAAGCAAAATTATAGTCAAGGATTACCTGTCATTTTTAAGCCTCAATCTGAATTACATAATTTTTTTTAATCAGAATAAGTAAATTTCCATCTTAATTTATGCATTATGGAAAAATTGCGGAGACTAAAAGTACAGCTCGATTACAACAGGAAGACCCATTACTCTAGGCTTGTGCAACTCGATGTAGACTTAAAGAACAGAAAAGTTTGTGTATAATGAAGTCCAAATACCTTGTCTTAATTTCAGCATGGTGTCTTTAACACTGTTTAAGCTGCAGCCGTTCTTTTTTTTGAAGTTGTTCAGTCTTGATTTAAAGGCTTGAAGTGATAACAGGACCATTACAGTTGTACATAAATTATTCTAGAGCTGAAATACTGTGAAAAGGTTCTGACTGACTTACATTTTGAATTTTTTTAGCTTTGCCTTTCACCTGTTAGCTCAGATTATTCACATTTTGGTCTGGGTTAAAGATATTTCTGCTACTCTAGATCTTTTATCCAATTATGTAGTAAGTCCAGAAATGAGACTGAACCACCTCTTGCTCTACTCTTTCAAGAGCTAAATATATTCTACATACAAAACCCAAAATATTTCTCAAGCTTGAGTAAAACAGCTAAGGAAGTGCTTCATTCCTTCACATTACGGTGCCACAGTAGTAGCTCCACTCGTATTAAGACAAAGCCATTCTTTGTTTTTCATTCACCTCAACGACCCAACTTTACAATTTACTTTTCCCCTCTTGTCTAAAGAAGAATGGCTAAATTGTCAGTTAAAGTATCCTCAACCATCCACTTCTGTACCATGCCTGGATTTTTTATATGGCTCATAAATTACCCAACTCCCTGGCTGCCTTGTAAGTGTGCTCTCACACCTGATTGTTGTGAGCACATCAGAGGAGGAGATGGACACAAACCCAAGCAGCAAAGACTAAGCTGACTTAATGGAGCCCATCATCGACTTACCTGTAACTGTGACAAAATATCAGCATACTCTTATTTGGCTGGGCTTTCATCCTTCTAGCTTTAATGTCATGATGATGAAAATCTCAATTTATT